GAACAGCTTGCTCCTCACCTGCTTCCGCCCCAAGGCTGCCTCTCAGACATGGCTGGAAAATTTTGGAGGAACTTGAGGGTCTGCTGAATCAAATGAGGAAGGCTTAGATCTGGATGTGTTAAATCAGTATAGCGCTGGGGTGTTGATCTGTGAGTGCCTTTGTGGGGCCTGGATGGGGTTGGTTGATCTATTTGGAAATGTCTTTTGTGTGAAATGTATCCTTGGGCATGTGGAGGTATTATTGATTTGAGAAAATGCTAAGTAACTGATTTACTATCTGAAAAATTTAAAGTTCTGAAAGTTTAAGGTCTCTTGCCAAAAAGAGGTTTTAAAGCTAATACCTTCATTTTAATGGAGAAAGGGGAGGACAAGCCCCTCCCACCCAGAACAGGTAATCCAATTCCAACCAGCAGCTATGTTTAAACAATGTGTCCATTTATGGGAGGGGAGTGGACTGACTGTTCTCAGGGAAAGGGAGGAAGAGACTGAACATAAACTGTGCACCCATGGATGAGGACAATGGGGGGTGGGGAGGGGGCTGTGGGGAGGGTGGGAACCTATTGAAGGGGGATGAAATGAGGAACCTTTGTAATAATATAAACAATAAAGATTGATTTAAAAAAATAATATTTGACAAAGGAGTCACGAATACACAATGGAGTCAAGACAGTCTCTTCAATAAATGGGAAAATAGGACAGATACATGCAAAAGAATGAAACTAGATCATCAACTTACATGATACACAAAAATAAACTCAAAATGGATACAGGACTTAATCATCAGATGGGAAACCATAAAAATACTCGAAGCTTCCCGGGCAACAAAATCTCAGACATATGCCAAAAGAACTTCTTCACTGATACTATCCCTAGGGCAATGGAAGCTAAAGAGAAAATAAACAAATGGGACTTAATAAAAATAAAAAGCTTTTTTACAGCAAAAGAAACCATCAACAAAACAACAAGAAAGCCCACTGTGTGGGAGAACATATTTGCAAATGTTACCACTGATAGAGGTTTAATCTCCAACATCTACAGACAGCTTATACAACTAAATAAAAGGAAGATGAATGATCCAATTAAAAAATGGGCAATGGACCTAAATAGAATATTTTCAAAAGAAGACAGAAGGAAGGCCAAAAGACACATGAAAACATGCTCAAAGTCACTAATTATCAGAGAGATGTAAATCAAAACAACAATGCGGTACCATTTCACACCTGTCAGAACGGCCAACATCAACAAATCAACAAATGACAAGTGTTGGAGAGGTTGTGGAGAAAAAGGAACCCTCGTGCACTGCTGGTGGGAATGCAGACTGGTGCAACCATTGTGGAGAACAGTGTGGAGTTTCCTCAAAAAACTGAAAATGGAACTCCCATTTGACCCAGTAATCCCACTTCTAGGAATATATCCCAAGAAACTAGAAACACCAATCAGAAAGGCTATATGCACCCCTATGTTCATAGCAGCACAATCTACAATAGCGAAAATTTGGAAACAGCCTACGTGCCCGTCAGCAGATGATTGGATCCAAAAACTATGGTACATCTATACAATGGAATACTATGCTGCCATAAAAAAGAAGGAATTCTCATTATTTGCAGCAACTTGGATGAACCTGGAGAACATCATGCTGAGTGAAATAAGCCAATCAATAAAAGAGAAACACCACATGACCTCACTCATTTATGGATAATAAAGAACACTATAAACTGATGAACCAAAAGATAGATATAGAGACAGTAAAGCAATAAGCAGACTGTCAAATCACAGCGGGGAGGGGAGGGAGATTTGGGGGAGATAATAGATCAACCGAAGGACTTGTATACATGCATATAAGTACAACCAATGCACATAAAACTCTGGGGAGGGAGGGTATGTATGGGGGTGGATCAATAAAATATATTTTTAAAAAAAGAAAAAAGAAAAGAAAAAAAAAAAAAGAAACCATCAACAGAATAATAAGAAACCCCACTGTATGGGAAAACATATTTGCAAATGTTATCACTGCTAAAGGTTTAATCTCCAACCTACAGGCAAGTTATACAATTTAATAAAATGAAGATAAATGATCCAATAAAAAAATGGCAATGGACCTAAATAGAATCTTTGTGAAAAAAGACAGAAGGAAGACTAAGAGACACATGAAAGCATGCTCAAAGTCCCTAATTATCAGAGAGATGCAAATCAAAACAACAATGCAGTACCCTCTCACACTTGTCACAATGGCTATCATCAAGAAATCAAAAAACGACAAGTGTTGGCAAGGATGTGGAGAAAAAAGAACCCTCATCACTGCTGGTGGGAATGCAGAATGGTATAGCCACTGTGGAGAACAGTATGGAGTTTCCTCAATAAACTAAAAATGGAACTCCTATTTGACCCAGTAATCCCACTTCTAGGAATATATCCTAAGAAACTGGAAACATCAATAAGAAAGGATATATGCACCCTTATGTTCATAGCAGCACAATTTACAATAGCTAAGACTTGGAAGCAACCTAGGTGCCCGTCAACAGATGACTGGATCAGAAAAGTATGGTACATCTATACAATGGAATACTATGCTGCCATAAAAAGAATGAATTCTTACCATTTACAGTAACCTGGATTGAACTGGAGAACATTATGCTAAGTGAAATAAGCCAATCAATGAAAGAAAATACCACATGATTTCACTTATTTATGGATAATAAAGAATATTATAAATTGATGAACAAAAAGATAGATACAGAGACAGTAAAGCATCAAACAGACTGCAAAATTATAGCAGGAAGGTTAGGGAGAAGTGAGGGAGATAAGAGATCAATCAAAGAACTTGTTAGCATGCATATAAACATAATCAATGGATGCAAAACACTGGAAGGTGAGGGCATGTATGGGAGTGGGTTGGGGGGGCAATGGTAAGATATGTACACATATAATAACTCAAAAAACAAAACAAAAAACAGGACAGTGTAAAGGAACTGTGGAAGAACATGAATCATAACAATATTCACATTTTCAGTATCCCAGAAGGAGAAGAAAGGGAGAAAGAGAGAAAGAATGTGTTTAAAGAAATAAACTTTAAACTTCCCTAACCTGGCAGAAAACTTCCCTAACCTGGTTAAGAAAAGTGTCACACAAGTTCAGGAGGCTCAGAGTCCCAAGGAAGAAGAACCCAAACAGGCCCACATTTAGACACATCATAATTAAAATGCAAAAATTTAAAGAAAAAGATAGAATATTAAAGGCAGCAAGAGAAAAGCAATTCAGTACCTACAACAGAGCTCGCATAGGCTGACATCTGATTTCTCATCAGAAACTCTATAGCCAATAGAAATGGCATGAAATACTCAAGGTAATGGAAAACAAGGATCTGAAACCAATAGTACTATATCCAACAAGACTATCATTCAAAATAAATGATGAAATAAAGAAGGCTAAAGAAGTTCATCACCACCAAGCCAGCATTACAAGAAATGCTAAAGGGTCTATTTAATAATAAGAAGAAATAGAGAGGGAAACCTAGGCATACAGAATTAAAATGGTAATAAGTAAGTACCTAGATTTTAACACCTTGCTGACTTCACTGGATAGATCTTGCAGACAAAAAATTAACAAAAAATAGTGATTCTAAAAGACACACTGAGCATATGGATTTAATTGACATTTATAGAATATTTCACCCCAAAGCTGAAGAATATACATTCTCCTCAAGTAGAGCATTCATAGAGATAGACCACATGTTAGGACACAAAACAAATCTCTTCAAATTCAAAAAGACTGAAATCATATCAAGTACCTTCTCAAATCACAATGGAATAAAATTAGAAATCAATTATATTAAAAACACCCCAAAACATTCAAACACATGGAGGCTAAGTAGCATGTTACTAAACAATAAATGGGTTATCAAAGAGATCAAGAAAGAAATAAAAAAACTTCCTGGAAACAAATGAAAATGAAAATACAACAACTCATATTAATATCAGAAATAGAAAAGGAGATATCCCTACCAACTTTCTAGAAATAAAGAGGGTTATAAGATGATTGGTGGTGGCCTAGGTCTGGGTGTGGGCAGTGACTACTAACAGGTATAGGGTTTAATTTGGGGTGATGGAAATGTTCTACAGTTAACATTGTTGTGCCAGTTGCAAAACTCTGTGAATATACTAAAAACTGATGAATTACTTTAAACAAGTGAATTTTACAGTATCACAAATAGTATTATATCCCTATGATGTTTTAAAAAGCCAGGATAGCCTACCTGGTGTGGCTCAGTGGTTGAGCATGAACCTAGAACCAGGAGGTCACAGTTCAATTCTCAGTAAGGGCACATGACTGGGTTGCAGGCTCAATCCCAGTAAAGGTTGTGCAGGAGGCTGCTGATCAACGATTCTGTCTTATCATTGATGATTCCATCTCTCCCGCCCTCCCTTCCTCTCTCTGAAATCAATAAAAACATAATAAAATTTTAAAGTCAGTTAGTCCTGGCTGATGTGGCTCAGTTGGTTCGTGTGTCGTCCCAGACACTGAAAGGTTGCAGATTCAATTCCTAGTCAGGGCCATTACCCAGGCTGCAGATTTGATCCCTGGTTTGGGTGTGTAGGGAGGGTAGTTTTTCACATTGATGTTTCTGCTTCTCTCCCTCTCCCTTCCTCTCTCTCTAAAATCAATTTTTAAAAAAAATCCTCAGGTGATGACTTAAAAAAACAAAAACAAAAAAACCATAAATAAAATATGTCAGGATAAAACTGGACCCAAAGCATAGAGGAAATGATTATCCTTGGGAAGGAGGAAGGCACTTCCTTCATGAAATCAGAGGGAAATATGAGGAAGGATAGCAAGAGAGTATTAAGTGAAGTAAAAATTAGAGGCCTTATTTTGATACATCCTTATTTTGTGTTCCAGATCTCAATCCTTTGCAGGGAGCTTTCCTCTGAACATCTTAGAAGTGCTGCCTTCTTACAGTCCCACCTACCATGGCCTTTTCCATACAAGTCACCATCACTCACCTGGGCACCATTCTTTTATCTCCTTCTTTTTAACAATCCAGGGTTCTTTCCCCTGTTCCAATAAGGAGATCACATCTGGCTTAGAATCAGAAAGTCCTGCTCAAGGTAAAAAAAAAAAAAAGGATGTTATGGTTGTCCCAGAATTAAAATTAATCTATGATTATCAAGAAAGAAGAGTAAATAGTTTAAGGGTGAAAGTCAGAGGAATAAAAAAGATAGACTTGTAAAATGGAGCAGTCAAGTTTTAAGTTCGTAAGAAACAACTATTCTTTGGTAAGCAAGAGTCATTAATTCAGCCAGACACTTGAAAAAGCACTCACAAGAAATTGATAGCAAAGAACATAAAAATTCCAGAAGGCCAATTCTGAATTTTGAGGGGCAGATAAATTTACCCAGTGAGATCAGGTTGTTATAATTTTCCAACATTATATCTCGGTACAAATCCTTTTGGGTAGAGTGCAAGCATTCCCATTCCTTTTGAGAGAAGAAAATGGCCACATCTTCAAACTTCAGGCCCTGTAACCAGAGATAAATATACTATTTGGGATATTAATGGACAAAACTTTATAATAGAATAAAAGAAAATGGAGAAAGCAATTCAGTAAGGAAATTGCTTGGTAAAATAGGCTGTACTGGACTCTTCAACATGAATGGGTCAGTGTAGAAACAAGAGTGATCAGAGCACACAATTATTCTTGGTGCATATATCATTTTTTAAAATATATTTTATTGATTCCTTACAGAGAAGAAGAGAGAGGGATAGAGAGCCAGAAACATCGATGAGAGAGAATCATCAATCAGCTGGCCCCTGCACACCCCCTACCGGAGATGTGCCCGCAACCAACGTACATGCCCTTGACCAGAATCGAACCTGGGACCTTTCAGGTTCTAACACTGAGCCAAACCGGTTTCAGCCCACCTCCTCTCTTGACTTCTGTTGAATAGAGGCAGGAACCCCTTCAATTCTGACAAAAGCATTGAAGAGGGCTCAACCTCATTTAGTACCAAAATATGCAAATTTAAAATCAGAATAATATATCAATTCATACCCACCAACTGACTAAAAATGTAAAAGTCTGACAATACCAAGTGTTAATAAGGATATGAAGTAACAGGATTTTTAAATGGGTATAAACACTGGAAAGCAACTGAGCAGTGTCAGGAAGGTTGAAGATGCATATACCCTATGACCCAACAACTCTATTTCTAGTTATATATCTAGAGAAAATCCTTATATATGATACCAAGAAATAAGTTCAAAAAGTCCACATGGATATAAAAGAAAAATGTATATTTATACAATAAATGGCTATATAGTAGGATAAATTCACAATCTGAATGAAGTTTCTCAATGTACAGTGAGACAATAAAGTTGCAGAAAATTTCAAACAGTATGATTTTATTTACATCAAATTTTAAAAAGAAAAACACTAGTTAAGACTATAAATAAAATCAAGGAAATGAAAACATGAAACTCAGAACAGTTACCTCTGGGGGTGGAGAAAGGCACTGAATAGGACTCACTCCTGGAGCACATGTTTATTTATTTATTTATTTATTTTTAACAATAATAAACATTCTATTTCTTAAAATAGATAATATGTCATTCATCATACCTTATACATTTTCTACTATTTAATCTATACTAATAAAAGGGTAATATGCTAATTAGACCAGACATCCTTCAGTCAAAGCCACTGTGGCAGGGCCAAGGCAGAGGCAGTTAGGAATGATTAAGCCAGGATGGGAGAGCAGTTAGGGGCAATCAAGCTCATAGGGAAGAGCAGTTAGGGGGCAATCAGGCCAGCAGTTTGGGGGAGATTAGGTCAGCAGGGGAGCAGTTTGGGGGTAGTTAGGTTGGCAGGGGAGCAGTTAAGGGGTGATCAGGCCAGCCGGGGAGCATTTATGGGCATCTGGCTGGCAGGCAGAAGTGGTTATGGGTGATCAGGCAGGCAGGCTAGCGGTTAGGAGGCAGCGGTCCCAGATTGCCAAAGGGTGTCCAACTGCCGGTTTAGGGGACTGGGCCTAAACTGGCAGTTGGACATCCCTCAAGAATCCTGGATTGGAGAGGGTGCAGGCTAGGCTGAGGGCTCCCCTCCCTGTGCACAACTTTTATGCACCAGACCTCTAGTATTTAATAAAAGCAGTTTTAAAAATGTTACAATACAGTGTGATAATAACTATGACAGATGCAGAATAAGGGAATGTGATCAGAGTCACCGAGGATAATTAGGAGACTCAAGCAGGTTTCATAGAACCCAGAGAAAATGGTGGTATGGTATAAGCACCTCTTTTATTTCTTGTGCAACAAAGACAAGAGATAGTACTATGTATTCTGGGAACTACTACAGGTGAGTGAGGGAGCAGAGAGAGATAAGGCTGAAAAGAAGGATCACATCCTTAGATGGTTAGACTTATTTTCACAGGTGAAGGGTTTTAACCAAGTTAAATTAGCTCCTATTACAAATAGAAGAATTTTGATATGGGAAATGAGTGACTTATTATAATTAGGTTAAGGGTATGCAAAAGTTTCATGTAACATGCAGAAGATTAATTGGGATTGAGAAAAGGAATAGGACTCCAATAAACAAAACCAATTTCAACAACATTCCAAAGTACAGTGAACAGAGTAAGCTGAAGGTAGAGAGGGAGAGTAATTGCATCCTGTGTGTCTAAAAAGTAGGAAATTAACTGGGGTAACTGGTGAGAGATTCTGGGAAAGAAATATGTCTAGAAGTGATGGTGGAGAAGTCCAAAGGGGTCAAGATAGATAGGACTTAGATGACAGGTCATCCCCAGCAGGAATAAAAATACTCTCATTCACCACTTTACGCCAGTACTAGGGTTGGTGCTCTAGTAAACATTTACTATGCTTTTTAGTGTACATCTATATATATAAAAGTGTAAGAAACCATTATGACTGATCAATAAAAACAACCGATCTACCAATCATTATAATGCACACTGACCATCAGGGGGCAAACACTCAACACAGGAGCTGCTCCCTGGTGGTCAGTGTGCTACCACAGCCAACCTCCTGTGTTCGGCTGGAGAGGTTGGCATCCAGCATTCATTTCTTCTGCCCCTGGCCCAGCGACCTTAGCCTCCTCTTCCAACCCCACTGGGACCTTTGGACCTGGGCTGGGATGGGGAACCGGGGGTGGGAGGTGGTGACTGTGGCCTCTTTCCCAGGGGGGCTGAAGGCCAGTTCCCTCCTTAGGGCTGACGGCCAACCTCCTATACTTATTCCTCCCTCCGGCCAGCTGGTCCTAATTAGCTTGCCACCCATTCGCTGTGGTGGCAATGCTGTGACAAAGGAAGGAAGAGGGGGTGAGGCAGGGAACCACGGGGTGTTGGTGTCAGCTGGTGATGGTTTCCAGCATCCATTCCTTCTGTGCTTGGTGACCATTGTTTCCTCTTCTATCCCACTGGGGTCTTCAGGCCCCAGGCTGGAACAGTGAACTGGGAATGGGTGACAGCAAATGCAGCCCCTTTTCCAGGGGTCAAAGGGCTAGCTCCCTCCTTGGAGCTGGAGACCAACCTACCGTGCTCTATCCCTCCCTCTGGGCAGCAGGCCCCAATTAGCCTGGCTCTGATCAGCTCTCATCCCTGGCCAAGCCTAGGCACCCCACCTGTGCACAAATTAGTGTACTGGGCCTCTAGTCCATACATATAAGAATCTAAGTGACTAAATGACTGGCTGACCGGTCGCTATGATGTGCACTGACCACAAGGGGTCAAATGCTAAACACAGGAGCTGCCCCCTGGTGGTCACTGCACTCCCACAGCCAATCTCCCTCGGTCCCTCCCCCAAGCTGCTGGCCCCAGCCAGACAATGGAGGGAGGTTGTAGGGCACAAAGGAGACAGAGTGATGACATTTGGCACCTATTGAATGTTGGGAAGATCTAGAGGTAGGAGTTGGGGAACCTCCACATTGAGGTGAATGTCTATTACCATCATATTCCTCAAACCTTGTAGCATGCATTATGCAGAGGAAGTTATGGGGAAGCCCATGGTCACATAACAAGTAAGTAGGAGAAATGGGGTAAGAGTCTATTATTTTATAACAGTACTAGAGGACTGCTGTTTTTATAACAGAAATTTTTACACAGGTCCCTAGGTCTGGCCTACAATCAGGGCCATCTTCCCAGGCTGCTTGCAGCCAGCTCTGCCGCCCCCCCCCCCGCCCCCCCCCCCCCCCCCCCGCTGCCATCTATCCCCAGTTCCCTGTTCTCCATCAGGTGATTGGAGCCTGCTATCGATAGTTAGGAGGAGGGACTGAGAGATCAGCCATTCCCCCTCGCTCGGTGGCCCCACCCCCACTGTGGGTCACCCTCTGTATGTGGGGTGACTGCCAGGGTGGAGGCCTTGTCCTGGCACCTCCCACAACCCCCACCACCCACCCCCAGTTCCCCATTTGCCATCGTGTGATCAGAGCCTGCCGGCCAGGGAAAGGGACCAAGAAGGTGGTCAGTGCACCTCATAGTGACTGGTTGAGCAGTAGATTCACCATTAGAGTCAATTTGCATATTATCTTTTTATTATATAGATAGAGGCCCAGTGCACAGGTGGGGGCTGGCTAACCTGCCCTAATGGGGGGTTCCAGACTGAGGTGGGTGGGGGGGTTCTGGGTTTTTTTTTCTGGGGGGCGGGACTGGCTGGGGTGAGAGACTGTGGGTGGGTTTCAGGCTGCCATGGCCCCGATCAGGGTGAGCGGGGTCCCCACTGGGGGGTGAACCAGCTGGGTGAGGGGCTGAGGTTGTTCTGATCTCTGTTCATTCCACTGTTTCAATCAATCACTGGGCTTTTATTATATAGTACTAGTGGCCTGGTGCACGAAATTCATCCATGGGCAGTGGGAGCAGTGTCCCTTAGTCCAGCCTGCATCCTCTCCAATCTGAGACCCACAGGGATCAGGCCTAAACTGGCAATCAGACATCTCTCTCGCAATCCGGAATGGCTGGCTTCTAACCACTCATCTGCCTGCCTGATCTTCCTGATGATCTGCTTGCCCCCAACTGCCTGCCCCTCCTGGCCTGATAGCCTCCAACTGCCCCTCCTTGCTGGCCTGATTGCTCCCAACTGGCCCCCAATGCTGGCCTGATTGCACCTAACTGCCTCTGCCACAGGCCCGCCACCATGGCTTCTTCTGGTCTAATTAGCATATTACCCTTTTATTAGTATACAGCCTCACATTAATACAGAGAAGGAACAATAACCACTCTGAGGGGAGAAGGAAAGGGAGAAATTTATAATAAAAGGTTGCAGGTCAAAGGGAGCTGGAGTTCCTTCCTTACCAAAATGTATGGTATGGGGAGGATGTAGTCCTTTTCTAAGAATCGTGGGAAAGTTCTAGCCAGGATGGGAATGGGAAGATAAATTCAACAAGTTCTCACAGAATACAGAAGAAAAGTCAAAGAGAAAGGAAGAAACAGATGAATCTAGAAAACAAATACTATTTCTTAGTCTTTAGAAAAAGGAATTCTTCAGAACTGGCCAACATTAATGAAGAGGCATACTCAGACACAGCTAAGGAAAAACACACAATACACTTGAACATACTATAAATAGTGTGCCATTCTTTAAAAATAATTTAATCATAGATAAAAGCCTAAACACCCTAAATCAGGAATGTGACAACCCACATTTTTTTTTTTTTTATCACATCTCACACCAGATACCTTAAAGATTAAAATGTATGAACAAAAGAAAAAAGTACTTTAGGAAAATATGAATAACTTTTCTATTTTTATAGTAGGGAAAACTTTTGGCATAACATAAAGGGAAGAAAAGATTTTTTAAAAACTTTGAATTTAAAACACAAACAAAAATAGATTGACTATGAAAAACATTCCTAAAACAACTTATAAATGATAAAGAGAAATATGCTTGACATATAAACTTATTTAAAATAAACCAAGAAAGATAATACTCTTTGACAAGTGGGGAAAGGAAATCAGTAGACAATTTAGAAATCCTAGTTATATCATTTAATATGTAATTTTGGAACAAGCGACTTAACAATCTATTTCATCATTTTTCAACTTAAAATATTAGCATATTTCATCAATTCTGAGATTATATTGATTTATATACCAGGGGGAAAAAATGCCATCAATGAAACTATGACTTGCCAGAAATTATAAAACTTATCATGATATGAAAGTAAAGTGCATCATAGAATTAATGAAATATAGTCAGACCTATTTTATGGGTTGTTATGTGGATTCAATAAGATAACACATATGAAGAATTTCAACCTTAAAGTGGCTTAACAGAACACAGTAAGTTAGTTGCTTCTATCAGTAACATGATCCCATTCTGAAAACAAATTTACATACCTAAACATATTTTCTAAATAATTTGAAAATAGCCCTGGCCAGTGTGGCTCAGTTGTTAGAGCATAGGTGGGCACATTGAAGGGTTGTGGGTTCCATTCTAGGTCAGAGCTCTGGTGGATAGTAATCAATTGATGTCTCTTGTTTTCCTTCTACTGTCTCCCTTCCACTCTCTCTCTTAAAAAAACAAAAACCCATAAAAACAAAAAACAAAAAAAGGAAAAAATATTCTCTGGTGAGGACTAAAAATAATAAGAATAATTTGAATCCAGCTGGTGTGACTCGGTTGTTTAGTGTCAACCTATGAACCAGGAGATCACAGTTCGATTCCCAGTCAGGGCACAAGCCTAGGTTGCAGGCTCAGTTACAGTGTGGGGCATGCAGGAGGCAGGTGATCAATGATTCTCTCATATCATTGGTGTTTCTCACTCTCCCTTTCTCTTTGAAACCAATAAAAATGTATTTAAAAAAAGAATTTGAAAATACTAACAGTGACTATTGCTAGATGATAACAAACTGTTTTAATAAGCTTTTTAAGTTTTCAAATATTTGTAAGAATCCTATATTATCTCAGTTATTAGAAAGAGAACAATTAGGTTATTTCTTTGTTGGGGAAAAAAATGTCTAGAATGAAAACAGACAGGCATCTTAGGCTCCTACAAATTTGGAAGCAGCCCTGGACAGTTTTTCTCAGTGGTTAGAGCATCAGGCAAAAGTGTTGCAAGTCCCATTCCTGGTCAAGGGCATGTACCTCAGTTGCTGGTTTAATCCCCCACCCCAGTCAGTGCTCAAGCGAAGACAGTGGGTTGATGTCTGTCTGTCTATCTCCCCTTCCTCCCTTCCTTTCACTCTGCTTACAAATCAATGGAAAAAATATCCTTGGTGAGGATTAAAAATAAATAAATAAAAATTTCCCTGACAAATCACTGAGGCACATTTGGACTGTTGGAGGGGTGGGGAATGTTGGGCCCCTGGCCATATAAGGCCCATGAAATCATTTGGTCTGGTCCTGCCAAGGCATTGGGGTGAATTAATTAAATGTTTGACCAAATATAGTAGGATAATTTCTAAGCTAATAATTCTGTATGGCCTGTAAAAGATGCTGTAAATACCCAAATGGCTCTTGACAGAAAAAAGGTGCCCCACACCTGGACTACAGGAATGAACAAAATCCAGGGAAGTGAAAATTCTACATCAGAGCTCTGGTTTAGGCTTCTGTTTGGTTCAGGAAAATTCTCCATAAGTGTGGTTTCCTTCTCTCTTCCCTTTTCTCCAAATCACTAGAGTAAATCTCTTTGATAGAATCCTGAAATAGGATAGTGTTCTGAAAACCAATAAACCCTTTCCTAGAAGAAAGTGCCACATACAACTTACCTCTGCCATGACTTTTGATGCACAGCGGATCTTTTTTCCTCCTGTTCTGGATTCTAAGAGAAGACAAAAGATGGAAAGAGATTAGGAAACTAGAAGACAATAGTCTCTCCCAATTCCTGGAGGAGGCCCAGTTAAAACAAATCCCTGCTCCACCCAGGCACTAAGAGGTCCAAAGCCAAAGAAGCCTGCAACTCCCACCATCCTTTCCATATCACAGAAGCACAGTGGCTTTGGGGGTCCAGATGGGAGTCCTGGGAGAGTGTCCTAGACTGTGGCTGCCTTTCTCCATAAAGCCTGAGTTGGGTTTCTTCCAAGCCTCGTAGATTATACTGAGCCCAGAGCTGCAGCTCCAAGAAACAGCCTAAGTGGATTCATGTGCCAGAGTCCCGACACCCCTAGTCTGGGGGCACTTCTATGGGGCCAGATCCCTGGCGACCAGGGTGAAAGAACAAAAAATACAAGTAGGAGGAACTCCCAAGCCCAAGCTCTACAAACCAGCTGGACCGCAGAAACAGCCCCCGGGCGAAAGCTATTCACAGGGCTGGAGAGCAAATGGCGGCGGTTTGTCTGCAGCGACTGGGCTGGAGAGTGTAATTGGAGATACAAAGTCTGGAAATGCAGGCGGGGTCTGGGATAGAGGCCCAGAACCCATCCAAAATGCGGACACTCCCAGCGTTGACCAAGAATGGTCAAAGAGGGCGCCTTTCCCAGTTCTGGCCCCAAAGGCAGAGACAGAGTCATGGCCACATGGGATTCTCACACCGGGGCCACAAGCACTGCTAGCCCAGCGTGGGGAGTCGGTTTGCGACACGGGTGGGGAAAGAGTCGCACGTACTTGCCGCCAAGGCAACACCTGACCTCCTGACCCCGCCAGCTGAAACCACGTCCAGCCCGTGCACGCGCGAGGCCACTACTCCCCACCCGGAGAGAGGACACGCGGCCACAGACGTCCTTTTTCCAGCAAATACATGCAGCCTGGACACGCCCCAGACACCCGCCCCGCCCGGGAGTCCTTCATGTCCACTTACCCGGGTGCCTTGTACTCCGGTCTGATCGAATCCGCCACTACCAGTGACGCGCTTTCTCAAATTCACCACGGATCAGCCAATTCTGGCTGTAAATGGATATGCCGCGGAGCCCTAGGGAAATGTAGTCCACCAGAGGGAAATCCAGCCGGCTCTGAGGCTTCAGCCCAAGCCTTAGTGAAGCTCAGTGCTGATCACCCAGTACACCTGAGCATCCTGCGAGGATCTGGGCGACCCGGCAGGTCTGGGTAGTGCAAGACTGCTGCAGAGGATTAAGAACAGGTTGTGGACCCTGAAGGCTTCTCAGATATGTAACCCAAAGCTTGGGAAAGGGCGGGGCGGTCCTCTACCAGGATGTCCCGAGGCCCAGAAGTTACCGTAACCTGTCTTCAACAGTCTTCGCCCCAAACTGGGAGATGCCCAGAGATCTCTAAAAACTGTATTTAAAAGCCGGGAAGCCTTTTGTGGAAGAGTTCTCTCCACAAGGAGCAGGGCTCAGTGCGCGGGGCCAGCAGAGGACGACTAGGAGTCGTAGGGACTTGGGAGATTCAGCCCTCGGAGACCCAAATCCTGATCGGGTGTTCAACTTCCAGCTGAGAATTTTTCCCTGGACCTGGGTGCCGCTGGGAATGTAGTCCTCAGTCAGGAATGCCATAACACTGCAGCCCAGGCTTTTCAGCTGTGGGGCTACAGGAATGCGGGATAGTGGCTGGGTCCATCCTGGAGGCATCCGGGAAATGTAGTACGGGTCTTGGAATTTGGGGGTGTGCCCAGACTGAAGGCAGGCAGTCTTAAACTCTGGGTGCTGGACTCTGAGAAGGGACTAGGAGGACAACCATGGTTCCAGAGTGGAAATAATGGCGTACCAATACAAAACTATTTTTATGTTTTTATAAATACATAAATATAGATAGAAAGCCACTTGATAAGCTTTCTGGAAAATTACACTACCTTTGTTAATAATAGTTTATTTATTCTTTTTACTTTACAAGTATGCTCATATTGGGGCATTATCATGACCTTTTTTTTTGAAACGTTGCTTATTAAATTTAGTTAAATATAAAATGAGTAAGTATACACCTGAAACTGTGTACTAGAAAACAAAAATGTGGACCAGATTTTTAAAATTCACAATTTGGTTCTAAGAGAGCAATTAAACGAAATATTGATAAACAATAGCAAAACAAAGAATTAAGTCAAAGCAAAAACATTAGAAATGTTAAACCACATAGCATTTTACAGAAATTTGAGGCTGTTAGGTATTATATGCAGCTCTATAACCACAGTAGGGATAAATGTAGATTTTCTAGTAAAATTTAAGTTATTAATTTTAGAAAGAAGTAGAAAACCTGAATGGAACAATAACAATAACATTTAAATGTCTTAAAATATGTACTATTGAAAAGTATACAGATGAATACAACTGAGTTTTAGCTAATTTTTGAACTCATAATGATTATGCAATTTATTCAGATCCTAGGAAATGATAGAATGTCTTCTAATAATTAACTTTGTCTAATATAAAATCTGATAAAGACAGGCCAAAAGAAAAGTATTATCCATCTTGCATTAAAAGATAAACTGAAGCATGTTTCAATTTTCAAGAGTTTATCTGAGCACTAGAGGACCCATGCATGAAAATTCATGCACTGAAGGCAGGAGTGGGGTGGGAGGTGGGGGTCCCTCAGCCCGGCCTTCCCCCTCTCACAGTCCAGGAACCTTCAGGGGCTGGAGAGGTGAACCAGCAATCAGGGGAAGGCAACACCCTTCACACCTCTTGGATGTTTGTGATTGGTGGTTTTTAAATTTTATTTTTTCCAAATTGAGTCATTCATTCTGGATTAGTTTTTTGTTTGTTTATATAGGGATTGAAGGCAGTATAGCCACCTAAATCTAATGGTGTCCTTGTTTAATAACTTTAACATTTGTAATTAATTATTGATGCAAAAATTCCAAATAAGAGGCTGATTTCAACAAGGTAGTTTAAAATTTGTACAATAAATTTCATCAAAATATTTCATAACATTGGAAGAACCTTAGGCAATCCAGTGACAAAATACTTTGTATGAACAAATTAAAGGAGACAAAGAACTATAAATATTAAATTATGCCAATAAGATAATGTGGTAGATAGAATAATGCCCCCCCCCACTTCAAAACGTCCAAGTCCTAATCCCCAGAACCTGTAAATGACTATGTTATTTTATGTGACAGAAAAAGACTTTGCAGATGCACATAATTAAATTAAAGCACATTACAGATTATCCTGGAATATCTGAATGGCCTCATGTAATCACAAAAGGAAGGTAGGAGCATCAGAGGCAGAGAGGTTGGGATAATGGGCTTTAAAGATAGAATAAGATGCCATGAATTAAGGAATAGAAGTAGTTTATCAAAGCTGGAAAAAGTAAGGAAATAGACTCTACCCTAGAGCCTACATAAGGAATGCACTTCTGCCAATGCCTTGATTTTAGCCCATAAAAGGCATTTCAGACTTTTGATCCCAATCTCTGGAGGAGGAAATCTTCCCTCAGAGCAGGAAGAGAATGGAATGACGTGTCATTCATCAGAATGTCATGCTCTTAACCTGTTAACCAGGGAGTTCCCTTTTTAATTACACAACCTGTAATGGGCGCGTACTCTTTCATTAGGACGTGTCAGTACATCACGCCCGGAGGACGTAATTTCATATTATTATTATTTTTATTTATACTTAATTAAAATAAATGATATACATAATTTTCATTTATTTATATATAAAGCACAAAGGAAAATACAAAATTACAAAAAAAAATAGAAAAAATACCAACAAAAAAAAATGGAAACATCGAATTAAAAAATTATAAATTTTACAAACAATTATAAAGAATACAAAAAATATATACCGTCCTTCTCAGGGCGCAACATATATTTCCAGGACCTATTCATACGCCCTACCCATTCCCGATATTGTTTACGTTTGACGTATTTATAGGTCCCACTCAGTTAACAGGTTAATAAGTTAAATCTGCTGCCTTACTTCCTGAGATACTTTTTCCCCCACACCAACCAAGATACTCTGCATTCCTTCTTCTGCAAAATTTTCTTACAGAAACAAATTGAGGAATTATTTCTAGTTCCCTAGTTCTACTGTTTCAGTGGGGTCTTTTGGAACATCCTCAAGCAGCTTAGTGCCCTCCCATATTTATTTCTTCCATATGATAGAGTCATCTAATAGGAAAACTTTCTTCAGTTATTTATTTTGAAAAGTTTTAAATCTTCATAAACATTAAAAGAACAGTACAAAGAACTCCTTTTTAAGGTCTTTATTTTTCTTTATTGATTAAGGTATCACATATGTGTTCTTATCCCCCTATTGTCTCCCTCCCTCCTGCCCCCCGCCCCGCACTCATGCCCTCACCCCCCTGGTGTCTGTGTCCATTGGTTAGGTTTATATACATGCATACAAGTCCTTTGGTTGATCTCTCCCCCTTACCCTCACCCTCCCCTACCTTCTTTCTGAGGTTTGATGGTCTGATCAATGCTTCTCTGTCTCTGAATTTGTTGTTGTTTGTTAGTTTATGTTGTTTGTTATATTCCACAAATAAGTGATATTTATCTTTCTCTGACTGGCTTATTTCACTTAACATAGTGCTCTCCAGTGCCATCATGCTGTTGCAAAAGGTAAGAATTATTTCATTTTTACTGCAGCATAATATTCCATTGTGCAGATGTACCACCGTTTTTTAATTTACTCATCTGCTGATGCACACTTAGGCTGTTTCCAAATCTTAGCTATGGTAAATTGTGCTGCTATGAACATGGGGGTACATATATCCTTTCTTATGGTTGTTTCTAGTTTCTTGGGATATATTCCTAGAAATGAGATTGCTGAATCAAATGAGAGTTCCAATTTTAATTTTTTGAGGAAACTCCATACTGTTTTGCACAGTGGCTACACCAGTCTGCATTCCCATCAGGAGTCCACGAGGGTTCCTTTTTCTC